GAATATTGGTACATAAGTAATTGAAGGTGACAATAGAAAAGTCATCATGTTTGACATAGAGCTTGGTTGTTAGATTACATGTACCATTAACGTTTTTTCATGTAAAATATCCAAATATTAAACAGATATGTCAGACTCGGCTGTATGTTTTATCGACAAAGGAATGGAAAATATATTGTAAATTGACAATAGGGCATCGGTATATCTAAATTTTGAGATGAAGGCAAAACCATTTTTTTTAATATGATATCACACTTTTAATTTGTTGTAAGAAATGGTCGTATGAAGTAAAATAAGGTGTACCTTTAGATGTTACTCAGTATTGAATATTTTGCATCTAAAAGTTACTGATTTACATCACTTCTAGAATACTGTAGAACTGAACGTCGGATATTTTTTACGTATTAATATTTTATATTTTTGTAAGGATTAAGTACACGGACAGCACTTTCAGGAATTAAAAAAATTTTGATCGGGTCATGACATCATGCAATTTTTAAAAATGTTATGCTTATGTGTCACGGTGTTGGTTTGGTCGAAAATAGTTGTACAACTGTTGGAGCCGAGTTTAATACATGTAAACATTTTAGCTATACAGAAATATTACAGAATAATCCGTTTAAATAATGCTTAATAAAAAAGATGACTATAATATGAAGCTATTTGTAACAGTTACAAAAACGCACTGCATACATGTAAGTGAAGATGGACATGTACAAGCTAATTTTACTTCATTAAACAAATTATGAAATTGATTTTATAACATTTTTAGAAATATGGAGATATAAATAGGAACTAAGGAAGTATAGATGATTGTTTATATTAAAAGATATGGATAACAACAAATGTGATCATAAGAAACTCCGTTCTCACGTTCTTAAAATCAAGTATTGACTCAATAAAAATGCTAACAAAAATACATGTGTATCTTCAAATTTTCAGTCATGTATTTTTACCAACGATAATTCTTCAAACCTCAAAGTTAATCATATTGAAGTTATATTAATGTCTAAAATACATTTTCATGAATGCGAATGAAAAACATACTACCGGTAATCATTTTCCAATTCAACTTTGATCACAAACATATTTTAGAAATAAAAACCATTGGTATCCAGTCTTCTGAATATTTTTTAATACATACTAGTATAAGGTACACGTACTATAGTTTTTTTTCTATTTATTTCGATCCTTTTACATTGCAAAGTGTATAAAGATTTTCCTATAAATGCTAAGCAAACATTAGTATCAATGGGAAGATAGAGAGAACCACAATTTTTTAATAAATTTGATTTAAAATACTTTTAAAGGGTCATTTGTTTTGACTTTTTGTAATACCTTTCTAGGAACTTCCATGAACATTGAAACAAATTGAGAGGTATAGACTGAAAATTGTTACATGAAAAGATTTAAATTTTAAGCTTCCTTTTGAGACTTTTTGAATTAAATAATACATTAATGAGTTATCCTTCCTGGCTGAGGATCGGAGTACCTTAAATTATTGACAAGAATATTTTTGTGGCGAAATTGAGTAACTGGTCTGAGATAAATTCCTGTACTATGATTATCTTCATTTTGCAGGTAAAAATATTTTTTAAAAAATAAACGCCTCGTTAGAGACGATTTCCAAAAATCAACCAATTGTTTTAACCGCACGCTTGGCTGCAAGATAACATATATATCTCACGTAACATTCATCTCTGTCATATTCTGTTGCGTCAAATTCAGGAAATTGATAACAAGCACAGCTGCACTAGGGTGATTGAAACAACTTGCTATTTCATGTCCCGGTAAATAGAATTTCTCTACAATGAATTTTGTTCTAAGCAATATTTTCTCTCCTTCTTTCCACAGTCAATAATTATGCTATTTCGGAGAAGCTTTATTTATTAGAATTACATTGTATGTTTTTCTTTCACATTCAAAATAGAAACATTTATTATAAAACAGAGTTTTCTTAAGCCAAAAAAAATCGTCTTGTAATCTTTTGACTTCGAATTCTTGATTATGGCATTTTGAAGGTCGTAACTTTACTCAAACATTTTACACAATATACAAGTGCATGTAATGTGAATATATGTTTTGTATTTTGAAAGAGATTTTATATAAAATTTATATAGATATTTACTGATAAAAAAATCTCTTAGATTTTCTGACTATTCACTATATAATTCATAGCGTATATTAGAAATGATCAATTTCAATTTTTATTTTAACTAATATCATGAGATCATGAGATTGATATCTAAATATTAAAATTTTAAAAAAGTACTGCCTACATTCTATTTGAACACACGTTTTCATATCTTTTTAATAATAGTCTTGTAATCTTTTGACTTCGAATTCTTGATTATGGCATTTTGAAGGTCGTAACTTTACTCAAACATTTTACACAATATACAAGTGCATGTAATGTGAATATATGTTTTGTATTTTGAAAGAGATTTTATATAAAATTTATATAGATATTTACTGATAAAAAAAATCTCTTAGATTTTCTGACTATTCACTATAATTCATAGCGTATATTAGAAATGATCAATTTCAATTTTTATTTTAACTAATATCATGAGATCATGAGATTGATATCTAAATATTAAAATTTTAAAAAAAGTACTGCCTACATTCTATTTGAACACACGTTTTCATATATTTTTAATAATCGTCTTGTAATCTTTTGACTTCGAATTCTTGATTATGGCATTTTGAAGGTCGTAACTTTACTCAAACATTTTACACAATATACGAGGGGTGTTAGAAAAGTTCGCGGGCAAGTTCTATTGTGAGTGCGCTATTTCCACGAAACCGGTCAAACTTTCCAGATAAAATCTTAACCTATTTTCCAATAAATATACAAAACATTTGGTGCTCTCCAGTGATCATTTAAAAATATTCGGCTTTTTTATTTAGATAAATCTTGCTTCAGGGAGCATGCTCCATTTTGGCACGTTCACATTACAAAGACTCTTTAATAAAATTAAAATTTGCACAATTGTAGCGCAAAGAGATTTATGATATTTTACCTATCGCTAACTTTAAAGTATTCATGAAACGTCACTTGGAGAGATTTTGAATTAAATTGGAGGGTATATGACTGTTTTATAGCCATTTATCAATGATCAACACGAAAAAACACAGCCAAAAATCGGAACGTCATTGAGCGTCATGGAGCACTGCACTACGTAAAAATTATGTTTTTAGACAGTAAAATGTCTAAAAGAAATTAAAATTTTCAAGATGCTGCCGGGAATTTCCTACATCTACAATGCACAAGTTTTCAAATGGGTATGACTTCATATAAATGGAAGGATTAACTCCATCGATACTTCAATACCCTCTTATCGCATGGACGTTGTGCCTATATGTTTTTTTAAAAATAGTTTTCATACCTGATCAATTTACTGCATAGACGTTTTTAATGATCTCAAAAATATCCAAATCAATACAATCCAAATTAGTACAAAAGACATTAAAATTGAAAGGTAATTTTGTGTCTTGATATAGATATTCAATTTTAAAGTAAAAAAATAAGAAATATCTGATATATCTAAAGAAAGGAAAGATTTATAGAACTGCGACAAAGCATAACGGATTGAAATCTGGTTGTCACGTCGCCTTACGTCAAAGGATTGCTCCGTGAATCCTATGACCTCATAGTAAAATCCTTGTTAATTTTCAAGATTTTAGTAAATGGACCTGATTTTTTACATACTAATAAACAAAATGTAGTAATTTATTCAGACATAGGTCAAACTTCACCGAACACAATAGATTTTCCGTAATTCAATGTGTCCGCGAACTTTTCTAACAACCCTCGTACAAGTGCATGTAATGTGAATATATGTTTTGTATTTTGAAAGAGATATTATATAAAATTTATATAGATATTTACTGATAAAAAAATCTCTTAGATTTTCTGACTATTCACTAGGCCAGCATATATAATTCATAGCGTATATTCGAAATGATCAATTTCAATTTTTATTTTAACTAATATCATGAGATCATGAGATTGATATCTAAATATTAAAATTTTAAAAAAGTACTGCCTACATTCTATTAGAACACACTTTTTTCATATCTTTTTAACCTCTTCATCTTAGAAGCAAGAATTAGAAATGTAATATTTTATCAGAAAACTATTCTGAAATCTTAAAAATTAAATTTTTTTTTATGTTTTATTCAAATGTACCCGGTATATTGACACCCCTAGGTACGTACAATGTCTAGTTTTATCTACATGTAGGTATATTGACCACCCTAGGTACGTACAATAACTAGTTTTAATTACATGTACAGGTATATTGACCGCCCTACCTTCTACCCGTACAAAATCTAATTTTAAGGCCACCGGAGTTCACGCAGGTGACCTATTGCTATCTGTTTTCGTCCGTTGTCCGAACGTCGTCCGTTGTCAGTCGTACATCGGTCGTAAACTTTCGAACATTTTTAACTTCTCCTCTGAAACCATTAACCCAATTTCAACCAAATTTGGTATGCAGCATCTAAGGGTAACGGGGAATATTTTTAATTTCGTGGTCCCTGCCGCCCCCCCCCCCCCTTTTGGCCTGAGGGTTGAGTCTAAAACCACCAAAATTAATGCAGTCTATAAAAATTTTCTTCTTCACTCCTGGACAACACGCAGTCAAACTGTTGACATGATTGTAATAAAAAGTGAGCCCTCTATCAATATTTTGAAATTCATGGCTCCTGGGTCAGGGGTTCAGGTGTTTGGGTGGGGCTATGTAGATCATATAGTGAAAGTGCATTATTTCGCTCAAAATCTTCTTTCCTGCTCCTGGGTATTAAAAAAATTAACTAAGTACATAGCTATGATGACTTAGAGAGCCTATTCCAAAATAGTGAATTTTATGGCACCTGGTTCATGGGTTCTGGTGTTAGGGCAGGGCTCTAATTGATTATATAGTGATAATACATTTATTCTTTGAAAATCTCCGCTGCCCCTGGGTATTAAACAAACTAATCAAATACACAGTTATAAAGCTCTGGGTCAAGGGTTCTGCCATGGGGGCCATAAATCTTAGACAAGCTCAATTTTAATCTCAGTTTTAATTTTCCACAATAAATTCCTTTGGAAAAAGTAAGATTGATATCAAAAGTGAGCTCGTCTAGGTTCTGGGCTCTATTGATTATATATAGAAAATACTTTAACTCATTGAAAATCATCTCTACTCCTGGGTATTTAAGAAACTAACCAACATATAGTTTAATTGAATAAGGCTGCCTCTTCTAGGGTTCTGGTGTTTGGATTGGGCTCTATTGCATTTAAAGTAAATATGCATAAATTCTATAAAAATCTTCTTCTCTGCTCCTCGGTATTGTACCAATGAACTATGTACGTAGTTATTGTGAGGAAGGATGCCCTTTCCAAAATATTGAAATTCATGGTCCCTGGGTCAGGGATTCTGGTGTTAAGGATACACCAAAGGCTTTTTTCAATATTTTTGTCAATTTTGAAATTTTTGGCTAAGAAAACAATGCTAATCATTGCTTTATAATGCATAAAAATTCTTGCTGATTATTAAATGTTATTTTAACTATTTAATCAAACATAAACACTAACAAATGTGAATGTACCGTTATTGAAGCTTCTGATTTGGTCTGTTACTGCCTGCTTCTGAAAGGAGCAATAAATCACTGTGATCACTCGGGGAATTCTTCACTAGCCACACAGATGTTATCAGTAATTAAACTACAGGGACTGTAGATTTGGGGAAGGATATCCAACAGGTCAATTATGACCGACCATAAAGTAGGAGGTTGAGCTCAACTCTTGCCATTTTGCAGGGGAATCTTTCTGATTCAGAATTGAACCTATTTTACTTCATCAAAAGCACTTACTAGTAAATAAAGAAAAGAACCTTCAATTCTTGTGAATATGCATAGGAAATATGGATACGTGACAAGTATCCAAAGCTGAATCTCCAAGGTGTCATATATTTCTAGCTTTGGCAGAATTTGTTTTTTAATGGGTTTCTGACCACTTCTGTAAAGTTAGATAAGACAGTTGGTGGTATTATTTCAAAGGATTCAGCTTCCTTTTTTATTGACTAATTTCTCTGAAAACTGGCCAGAGTGCGTCTCAAATGTGTGTTCATAAAAAAGTATCTCAGATTTTTTAATATCTCGCTTAAATCTCGAATTAAAGGGGGAAGTGTAGAATTGGGCTTATTAATTGGTAACATTGAAGGACAAAATCAAATTATTTATCAAAAATCTGAGATGCAGTTTTTAAGTTCAATCTTTAATGTACAGAGGCAAAATAATGACTTTGAGAGGTGGGATAAAAAAATGTTGATTTATAAAATATGAACGCAATAATAAATACGTTAAAATATCAATGTTTTTTATAAGATAAAAATGAAAGTTTATGCTAGGATCATTAAATAGCAAATTTAACGAGCATTCAAATGATAATTATACACTTTTAATATGTTATCTTTGATAATGAAAGATTTACAAGCAAACTAAATTTTGCCCTTTTGACCCTTTGGTGTTACCTTAATGCGGGGCTCATATGATAATATATTGAAAATTCTTGAATTCTTTGAAAATCCTTTCCTTTGCAT